CCGACAAAAATAAGCTTGAAATCAGAAGGACAACATTTAGACAGAAGGGTGACACTGTGAAAATTAATAGAGGAAGGCGCAGTGCCCCATGCACCTTACAATGCATAAGTTGACCTGCGACTTACAAGTAGCATGTCGCCTTGGGCCTTGTAAGGCTTCTCCATTAACTTTTGGTTTCAACCTTATTTTTTGTTGCCCTTTTTAGAAATTTCGGTCAGTTTTTTTTACCCTTTTGGCTACGAACTTGAATATATAACCTAATATATCATGAAGAATATGTTTTAAGAAAATTTAATATAGTCAAATTAAATACTTATGCAAATAAAATTACCACCTACATTCTATTAGATGTGATATAGTTTAGATTACAAGGATTATTATTAACTAAGTTTTTGTATTTACTTATACATATAGAATTCTCAAGTTTTTAAAATAAACTTACATATCAATAAATTTTAATTATTTTTTTTGTAGATTGTAATAGTTAATAATTCAAAATGTTTAAAAGTATTTATAAAAAATAAGAATTGTTCCGTGAGGCTTAGACTTTAAGAGCCCGATTATATGTCAAACATACGCCTAATGCCACCACTCAAGGATTACTTGACTGTTCTTATATAAATTATGTGTCAAATTCCTTAGTTAAAACTATTGACTCTCATAATTCTTCATAAATAAATGATAATTGATAATTTTTTCATCTATAAAAATAAGAAAGAGTAATTTAAGTAACAAGTTGCAGCATTACATATTTTCTATTTGAGAAGATTGTGAGGTTGAACATCACTTAACATTTCTTTTTAAAATGTATGGCCAAATTTACATTTTCACTTGTCATTGATCGTTATGTTTTTGTTTAATGCCTTAAAATTATCATATTTGTTATTTCACTATTTGAAAGTAATTTTATTTTTACATGGAGAAGTGATCTTTTAATTATAATATTGATAAAGCTTATTGATTATTTTTTTAGTGAGGTAAATTGCATAATATAATAGTAATATGTTTTAAGAAATTGTGATAAGTGAAGATGCTAGAATTGATTTACATCTCAATAATAACTTTTATATCATTCATTATTCATATCTGTAAAATCATGTTAGAAATTTTATTTTCTATGTATTTTTTTAATCATATTTTATTTTTTCTTTATCTTTTTAACATATTCTTAATAACTTTTTTTTATTATTCTATTTTCCTATATTATAAATTAAAAATTTAAAGGATCATGATCCTTACAAAACGTCATATAAATATTCTTGAGATGATATATTTTATTTACTTAACAGATACTAAAAAATAATAATACCAAACACACCCAATGAGTTGATCATTTTTTAAGTTAGAAAATTCTAACACGCGGTTTGAAACTTCAAACATACAATAACTAATTGATAATTTGCGTGACTATTAATGGCATTAGTCTAATTAGTTCGATATTTACTATAATATATCAACTTTGGTTTCATATGACGACCAAGCAAATCATATAGTATACGAGACATCGAGTCATTGAAAAGGACTAATTTGGACCAAGATCAACTTTTGTTTAATCAACCTTAGATATATCTCAATAGAATGTACTAGGTTGTCCATAAAACTATATTATATTAGGTTGTCAATAAAACTATATTATTGTTTTTGTTGCTTTTATTGAATTTTCTTCATGTTCAAACAAGTAACTAAGCGGCCATAGAAGGTAAATATTAGTCAAATGCACTTTTAATACGTTTAACATTGCATGATAGTGAACCATAAAAAAATAATAATTTAAGTAACCCTTATTTAAAATATAAATAATAGTACAATTTATACCCTTGCCTAAATTGGAATATTAGGCTCATATAATTGTTTTAAATTCTTATTCATGTGCGTTTTGGTTGACTGATGGGTTTGGGGTGACTTTTTTTTTTCTTTTCCCAAGGTTTTTGAACAAATTTATTAAAAACTTCAGGATATTTTTTAGAGATATTAATGAGAGAATTATTAATTTTATGTTATCATTATATTTAATTTCCAAGTTTCAACATATATCACATATCCAAAGTGATGAATAAATTATGAAAAATTGACAAAGCTCATAAAGAAACAACTTTTTATATCTATCTCAAATACATTAATTAATGCCAAATTAGTCTTAAAAAACTTTATGATACATAAATTAATAACTATTATATTGCACGTATATATATACCAAGTCAAGCTAGAATTTCCAAGTATTTTTGTCATGTTTCTCCTAACTTCTTCTATACTCAATACTTTTCTACACTTTTTTTTATTTTTTATTTAATCATGACATAGACATGAATGATCTGAATATAAAATACATTATTTTCCATATATTCTGTTATAGTAAGATGTTTATCATACCATATATTTATTCACTTTTTCCCTTCACATTTTATTTGTGGAAATATTAGCAGTTAGAGAGCATGTAGTACATGAAAAGTCCCTTTATAAATAACCATAAATGATTTTAAATTTTAATCTCTCTCTTATATATACACAAACAACAACTTCAATCATTTCAAAAGTCTTAATTTATTTTTTGGTTTAATATCATCATGAGTACTAATATACCCTTTTCTTGGGAGAAAAAGCCAGGGGTAAGTAAAGTAATTACACCATCAAAAAATTCACCAAAATTACTACCACCACCACCATGCCCGGTACCGGAAAAATCAAAGGTGGCACCACTCCACCACCTACAAGTTCCACTTCCACCGTGTACTTTCCACGCGCCACCGCTATCGAGAAGTTCATCTAGACGGATTTTCAAGAAACTTGATGATGATCCATTCTATATGGCTCAAAAAGAGTGTACAAAGAGTTCAAGAAAAGGTAATAGTATTTTTTTTGGAGGCTTAATTAGTAAAGATGATTTTGGATTTGGGATGAAAAAGAAGAAAAAAAATACTAGTATGTCTTTTTTTTCATGTAAGAATTCATGTAGTGTGATGGAAGATAATATTAGTATTATTAAAGTGTCACATAATCAACTTCCTATTTCAAGATCTTTAAGATCAGAAAAAGGGAGTACTCCATAGTCCATACAATTTTTGAGACATGATTTGTTTTTTTTCTTTCTAATTTGTCCATTAATATTGTTCTCCTTGGGATTAAAATCTATTTTATTTCTTATATAATCGTGATGTCTGAACCAGTTTGTGAATTATAATATATTTATTGTAACACAATTCAATTTGTCGCGCATACGTCTTTTTAATTTCTTCTTATGTTGTATACTTCGTGGAATAAAATCTCAAGACTAAATTTCCTGTTCTAGATAAAATCGAAATATGAATTTTAATTTGTTCCCAGAGTACACTTGAGAACCAAAAAGATATTTGGAAAATAAAAGGGATAAAATAGTTAGATAAATTTGAAATTCAATGATGTGTAGAGAGTTTAGATAAATTTGAAATTCATTGATGTGTAGAGAGTTTTTCTAGTGTGTATAACTTAAATTCTAATAGACAATTTTTATGTTTTAAAAAAATTAAAGTGTTTCACTTGAATGACTATCAATATTGTTAGAAATTCGTGGTAATTGAAGTGACTTTATCTGGTCAAGTTCATCAATTGCAATGTTGACGTTCTTTAATTTACATTTTACTTGCTGCTAATAAATACAAAGTTGCTTGTCAACAGCTACGTATATTACTCTATCAAGTAGCTAGTTAGGATCCAACCGGTAAGGCTATGGTAGAGTGATAAATACTCCTTTATCAGAGGTTGGGTACAGAGTCGTTAGAAAACGTCTTGCCCTTAATCTGAGACTTTCCGGCACAAATCCAAATTTAGTCAGACTCTAATGTGGATACCGAATATCGGATAGAAAACCAAAAAATTAATAGGATCCAATTTTTTATTTTTTAAAAAATATGATCGATCAATGAAACTGCCTATTAATATTACGTCAAATATTAACAAACATGAAAATTTTCAAAAGTTGTATGAGTTCAATTCAAGAGTGGGCACAAAACGGCCTAAAGCAGCAAGTAACTGACTAGCACTTGAAAAATTACACGATCTCAAATTCTTCTTTTAAGAAATTATTTTATCCAATATTCGATAAAAACCGTATTGAAATTTGAGATCTTGATTGATAGAAATTTGTGATGATCGATAAGTCTCATTCTCC